GTAGGTACATGTTCGGCCACATCATGGAGGCTGATTTAAAGCTAGAATTGAAGTCAATGAGCTAGGAAAACCTTACATAGGATGACTGGGAGATCAAGAAGAACAAATGGGGAAAAGTTGTCAGCTGACCCCCGAGTCATAGCTCACTTGAGCTGGACTTTGAGCTAGCTAGAGACTTCATTTCAGCTGGAGAGTTGCAAGTGACCTTTCACAAGGAGCTACTCCTATGACTCATCTTCATGCAATTCATCTATGGCTAGCTCATCTTCAGCTCAAACTCATGGGAAGTAGCTCAAATGATGAAAGGTTGTTTCACACAAATGTGACCTTTCATAATTAGTTGCTGCCCCATTGATGCCAAGTCACCTAGACATGTTTGATGCCAAGTCACGCCTAAGTTACTGTTCATCTACACACCATGGAAGAGTCCACGCCTTAAGCATTCAACACCAAACATATGAGTGCCACATGACCAGCCACCATGTGCTTTGCATGTGAATGAATTAGGCGCCAAGATGAAAAGGCTTCTCTCTATTCGGCCTAAACATCATCATGCTTCAAATTGGCGCCAAGATGAAGAGTTATGGGAACCATTCGGCCAAAGACATCTCCCCTCATCCAAGCATCATTTATTTTCGTTTAAGACATGTACTTTGCCGAAAAGGCATCTATTTATTCGGCCAAGCCTTTACAAAACTATAAATAGGCTTTGGCATTCATTTGTAAACTCAACCCTTTGATAATTAAAAATCCTTTTGTGAGATTATCTCTCTCAAGTTCTTTTTAGAACTATATCGATTAAGCAAGCCTTTCTAAAGCTTGTGGCGTCATTCCCTCATGATACTTCTGGTTCCTAGTTTAAATAACTAGTGGGTCAAAGTCCTTTCATACCATCCCTTATAAAACTTTTAAGAAACGGGTCTTTGCTCCTTTATAGCATTGGTTCCTTCTTAGTTTTATAAGATACTATTTTCATCACCATAATCCATCTCCATTATCACGCCTATATCATCACCATAGTCCATCACCATTATCACGCCTATATCATCACCATATTCCATCACCATATCACGCCAATAACATCATCCTTCCATTACCATTCATCACCAATAGCATTGGTTCCTTCTTAGTTTTATAAGATACTATTTTCATCACCATAATCCATCTCCATTATCACGCCTATATCATCACCATAGTCCATCACCATTATCACGCCTATATCATCACCATATTCCATCACCATATCACGCCAATAACATCATCCTTCCATTACCATTTCATCACCATTAAATCATCCTTCATTCATTAACAAGGCATACTTCATCACCACCATTGGAGGCCGAAGTCAACATCACTTGAAGGAGATTTATTCAACACTTCCGCAACCCATCTTTGATAACTATTCTATCCATTTCAAATCTTTCCATTTCTATTTACTTTTCATTTCTTAATTATCATATTACTTAATCAATTCTTCTTCTTTTTTGTGCATATTACTTTCAATCCAAGGTGTAGCATTTGGTGTCTATCCTAGATCGGGAAACAACAAGGTTGCCAACTTCTCCATCATTGAAGAAGTCTGGTTAGCCTCACATCACATGACCTGTATCTAACATTACACCTTGAATCGTTGATGGTCCCCGATAGTCCCTTGGTCAGGTATTCTCTCAATGGACCATATTCAAGTCAACACCTCCACATAATTCAAAGTTATATTAGAATTCCCTTGCACCCCGACTGAAAAGTTACGTTGGAAATGAGAAGAGAGAAGCGAAAAAGGAAATTCGAGATCAAAAAGGAATTTAAGGTTTAGAATGAAATTGAGGATTGTGTTGTAAGTTTTAAAAGTTGGGGGACCTAAATGCAAGCGCTTGAAAAGTTTAGTGATCATATTGCAAACGTACTAACGACAGTATAACGTCGGGGACCATATTACAAACGGACTAAATGTTGAAAGACTGTATTGCAAATTTTAAAAGTTTAGAGACCTAAATGAAAATTTTAGAAAAGTTATGTGACCATTACTATACTTTACCCTATTATTTATTATTGAGATGAAAAAGGAAGACTTCGATCCGTTTCAAGTGAAAGACCCTTTGCATTGGAACGGGGACAGAGAGATAAAGTGCTTTGGCCGACTGATCCGAGGACCAAAGTGATGGTGATGACGATTATTATGGTGGCGGGGAAGATAGAACACCGGCACTGACGGTGGTGGTGGCACCTGTGTTAGCTATTACTCGTTAATGAAAAGAAAAGTTGGCACCATTTTTTCTTTGTTAAAACAGCATTTTCAATAATTTATTTCATTTTGATCTGATTTTCTTTTGGGTTTGTGATATTGATTGAACTGTGGGTCATAAGAGTGTGTGGATGCGTCGGAGCTGGTTCAATTCTGGGATTTGAAACAGTCGGCTTCGAGCTTCTTTCACGTTTATTTAATTCCCGACTTTATAGTTTTAAGGGATTACTGGATTCAGGTGAAAGAAACTCATTTCTCTATACATATTTTATACATTTATGGTTTGTTAATCATGGGTTTTTTTGTTTTTCTTGTTCTTTTCTGAGTGGTAGTTGTGATTAAAGCTTCAATATTTTGCTCTATAAACTATGATTTGATTAAATATTGGTTATAGTTAAGCTGAGATTTGGGAGGTGTGTTGTAACAAATGGATATGTTTACGTATTTGCAGTTGAATATTGAGAGATTGGATTTGGAGTGCTTATGAAAGATGTTACTAAAGATTGTGCTTGAACTAAAGGAAATGAAAGATGGATTGGCAACATATCAAAGGAGGTGGGGAAAGAAAGCTTTGGCGTAGCGGAACTCGGTCCCACGTTGCTCCAGACCGAGCACCATCGAGTCCAACTTCGTCGACCAATGATGGACGAATCTACCACCCGAACTGCTCTTGGATATCATCCAAAGAGTTGAAGAGAGTGAGACGGCTTGGCCGGCTGGAGCTGTTGTTGTGTTTTGTGCTGCAGTTTGTAGGTCTTGGAGGGAAATTACAAAGGAGATTGTGAAGACTCCTGAACAATGTGGAAGGCTAACATTCCCATCTCACTGAAGCAGGTAGGCAAATATCTCACTGTTAATCCCTTGAGATTTTCCTACGGGATATCTAGATTTTTGCTAAATTTACATCAACGATAGGCAAAAAGTTTGAACTTGATTGTATACACCTTTGTCAAGAACTGTTTCACTGGCTTCTCTATTATCAAATTAACACTTGACTGATAGTTGAGTACATAATTTTCATGAGGTTGTGCTTGTTAACAGCCGGGTCCTCGCGAGTCTCCAATTCAATGCTACATCAGAGTGGCAATAGTATAGTTTCTATCATGGTTTTTGGTGGATTGCAGAGTGGCAATAGACATTCCCAGCTAGGAATACATATCACAGTTCCAATATTTCAAATGATAATAGGATTTCACGGTAACCTGACCTGGGAAATAGGTTTCTTTTAAATCGAAAGTCTTGAATTAAACTTCAACCCTAAATACGAGATAAAACATGGAGATAAAAACTGGTATGCAGAGTGACAAATCAAAACATCTATTGCCTTTTTCTCGAATAATATAATGTAACTATGTCTCAGAAAATCACGATGTTTAAACCATTTGAACAGCACAAGCCCAAGGTAGTGAATACAGGTAATATCATCTCACTTTCTTCCTACCAATATTGAGAGATTTACACTCCTATGAGAAGGCTCCTCACAGTTCTAATGCTCAGTTCTCTTCCATATGAGACTATTCCACATTTCACATACCATCCAAGCCAGGTCACATCTGTTACCTCACAGTGGAGTATGTTATGAATTCTCTTGAAGTAAACTGGAAAGGTTGATGGGGAATAGGATTCCTGCAATAAAGCATTTAAACACCAATGAATTATAAATTAGAACATGGGCGATCGAAAAACTTAAGCATAAGAAAATGATTTTTTTTGTATGGTACATACGGTCGAGGTCCATAAACTTTGATCTGTCGAACATGAGTATCCCTTCCATTAAGGTGATTCGACAAAACCGCAATTTGCAGCATAAAGGTATTGACAAAGGTTTCTCTGCAAGACATTTTCATTGATCAGTAAACCCAAAACAAATATCCCCTTGGGTGTTCCTCTAGCAAACTGTTTATATTAAAGAACAGCAGAAAACATTATAGAACTAACTGCTAAAATTGTGATTGAAAACGTAACAACAGAAACAAATCATTTTGCTACTCACCGAGGATCATTTCCAGATAACGAAAGATAAACCCAACCCAGTAGGCTTGACAAGCTCCACAGTTTTAATCTCCTATACAAACATTTATGCACAAATTAAACAGCCTGGTAAGAGTGCACGATTCTAAATGAAAGCACAAAGTAAATTATATTTTATACCTTCAAATTATGGAAGCCATCACCAGCTCGAATAGAGATTTTACTTGGCGTGTAGCTCTCATCAAGCTTGAAATCCACAAAAAGCACAACTAGCTTCAAAAACCCACATGAAAGGGAGGAAAACACCCCACTAATCGTCATAAACCCATCATCAAAAGTTCATATAAATTAAAAATTTAAGATCCAAAGAATAGCAGAATTCTCACATACTTGCAACTTGACCTTCTTCTGGAACTGAATGTTAACTAAATGAGGCTGAGCGCCATCTGATCTGAAAGCCATTCAAAAAAAGTGAGAATTGAAAGTAAAATTGGGGGTCAAATTGGGAAGAGATTAACGTGTTTAACTGCCAATAGGTTTCAAGATTGTCGTCACGGAGATAAGAGACGCCATTGCCGGTTTTACAAGAGCTGACACTCCAAGCTGCTTTTTTTCCCATTTCTCTCAGATAATCTTCAACAATTAGGTGTTGATTTCCTCCTGTAATCTTCCCTTCTTCTTCGGATTCTGAAGATTCTGTAGCCATTTCTGTAAATGAAAAACCCTAATTTGCACTATTCTAAAAGAGAAGTCCTGGCTAGGCATAGCCATTTAAAAGTTGAAAAACATGTCAGGTGTCTACTCTTTTCTTTTCTTTTTTCGATTAATCAGGCGTCTACTTAATTCTTCTAATTGTTTATACTTCAAGGGTAAAGTATATAAATAGTCTCTAATTTTTTGGATGTTCATATTTTGATCACTTAACTTTTTACATTTATAATAAAATCATCAAATTTTTAATTCATTTTCATTTTAATCCTGTCATTACATCCCGTTATATTTTACTGACGTGCACTTAACTCCAGCTAACCCACTCCCTCCTTCTCCAAGTTACTCCTCCCCCTCCTCCTAAAATCCCATCTCATCGCACGCGTCAACCACATAAATAAACCTACATGTTACTCTGTAAAGTGGCACTCAACAATCCAATAACCCAGCTACCGATCAAAACGATAATTTGATCAACTCCTACGTCCAAATCGCTTATTCTTCCGAAGAAGAAGGCATCTTCTTTTTGGAATCCCACCAGTGGGACCTCGATGTCGTCGTTTCCACTTTCTTCGACAACAATTCGACCGTCGCACACCAGCCGCACTCGATCGCATCTCCTGTTTTCGGCCCCGTTATCAACTCCCCGACTTCCTCACCCTCTGATTCCGCTGATTATTCTCCCTCGCATTCGCCTTCTAGGTCTCGCTCGCCTTCTCCTGCCTGCCCCTCTCGCTCCCATATACGCTTTGGTCGCGCCGCAACGTTGATAAGAAATCGTCTGATAGCGACGGAAGCAACGCTCGTGACGTTCGTACCTTAGCCGATCTGAACCGGTCCCCTCCTGGTGGGTCCGACAGTGAGAAAAGGTATAACTCTTCTACCTCGACGTTGACTTTTTGTTATGAATTTTTGTTTTGCTTCTTTAATTTGTTTATCTGGGTGAGCAGTGGGATGGTGGTTCGAGATCCTTCGAGGCATCAGGATGTGGATTCGATTTTTAATCAAGCGAGACAAGCAGGAGCGGTGGAAGGATCTGATGATTACCTCCAACCATCGTCTTCGTTCGAGCACGAAAAGCTGTCAATCACATTTGAAGAAGAATAAGAAGAAAGAAGAAGTAACCAAAATAACCAGCAGAAGAAGGAAGCTAATGAAACGTATTAAAATGAAAACAAACTAAAAGTTTGATTATTTTATTGTAAGTTTTAAAAGTTGAGTGACAAAAAAAAATACAAATGTTCTAAAAGTTTGAGCATTATTTATATACTTTACCCATACTTCAATTATAATGAATGATTTTTTTAAATAATTCGCTAAATACATTTTTAATTTATTAATCAATTTACATATATCAATGAAAATAATTTTAATATATAAATTATTATAGTTTATTTATGCCTTCAGTTCTTTTAAGATTTTAATTTCTATTCTTTTTATTTAAAAGTAGCGTTAAAACTAGGCTTAAAATAAAAATATTACTCAAATTATAGGTGTTTTTTTTCGAAAAATCATCGGTGATCGGTATATTTATCGATCTAATAACGGTCAGATTATATTTCTCGATCTAACACTCGTAGCAGTAAAGTGCGCCCCCTGAACCGCGATATATGCTGATTTGGCGTCACATGGAGTATAGCACGCCCCCTGTACCGCGCTATACGCTGACTGTGTTACACGTGGGGTATAACGCGCCCCCTGCTCCGCGCTATACGCCACGTAGGGGTATAGCGCGGAGCAGGGGGCACGCTATACGCCGTACCAAAATTATATTTAACGCGGTCCCTGGTCTGCGCTATATAATAATTACATATAACGCGGTGCAGGTACCACACCTTATATGTTTATAAATACACTCCTCCGGTTCTAACATCTCCTCGCATCTCTCCTCTCTTATAAATTAATACAACAATTATGTCAACGAGTAATAATTCTGACAATCTTCTCATATTTGATTTAGAAGTTCGTGCGATTTTTCGTTATAAGGTAATTTTGTTATAATTTTTTAATTATACTTATTGTTTATTATCATTATTTGAAAAAATATTATACTAATTATTTTCAATTAATTTTTATGTTTGTAAAATTGAAAAGCGGGAGCATACGTCGAAATAGTTTTACGGTGCAGGTAATAATATAAAATTATATTATTTAAACTATTTACGTTAATGTGTAAAAAAATTATTGTGTTATATTTTCGTTCATATATAATTTATTTAATCAGGTTTGTTTCAGTTTTTTTTTTGCAGATATAATATTGCCGCACTTTTAAACTCAAAGAATGGCGCGACTTTCAGCTATTGTTTATTATGATGGTGAAATTGGAGAAGATGAAACCGGCGTTGTTTTCGTATCAAATGAGCGTGTTAAAATATCATTCAAGAGAAACATAACTCTTGAGGAGCTGATAACGAAGATTTCGAGGAAGATTCATGTTGGAAGTAGTAGAAGAATGTCGTCGTTGCAGTATAGATTTCTAACATCATTGTTGCCATTAACTTATACAGCGTTCGAACTTTCGAACAATGATGATGTTCAAATGATGGTTGAAGCTTAAAGTAATTATTCAGATGCCGCTATTGAGATGTATGTATATTTTGTTCAAGTGCGTGCTGTTTGGGGTCAATCTTTAAGCTCACACTATGGGCTGGCTGAACAAGTTGATCAAGTTGACAGCCCGACTATAGTAATGTGTAATGATTTTAATGCCATAATGGGGAGACATTCATCCGTAACTCCTTACGATATGTACCGAGGTGGGTCCACGAACAATCCGTATGGCAACACCGCGTCCAGTTCAAGGGGAAGACATTCATCTGCAAATTTCTTTGACCTTAATATGGAGATGTCATCGACGCAACAATCTGTACAATTTCCATTTGACACGATGGCTTCAAGCTCCAGGAGGAGGCATTCGACTACGAGCTTTTTTGATCTGAATGTCGATATGCCTTCTAGTTCAAGGGGAAGGCGTGCAAGTTCAGTAGGGGAAGGCGTGCAAGTAGTAGGTTCTTCGACCTAAATGTGGAGAGCATAGAGGAACCATCATCTCCACCAGAAGAACCGCTTCGTGAGCATGGTGCGGATGGTGCTGAGAATGGACTATTCATTCACCCAGAATCATCGCAATTCAACTCCGATGATGATGAAGTTCCAGGAAATGTGGCACAAACTGACTCTCATGCACACATGTATGAAACTGATTATGGTGCAATGTACGGGCCAAAATTTGCGGATATGCCTCATCTCGGTGACTATGGATATTACTCATCAATAAATAATGGTGAGTTATCTTTAGGCATGGAGTTTTCAAGCAAAGAAGAAGCAATGATGCTATCAAAAATTACAATATCCGTAATTTTGTTCAGTCCAGAGTCAACCGATCGACGACCGTAAAATTTGTATGCTACTATGCCCGACGCGAAAACAGATGCAATTGGATGGTTCGCGTATCAAAAATGAAGAGGAAAAACAACATATGGGAACTAACAGTATACAACGGTCCTCACACATGTTGTGCTGGAGGGGTCAACCAAGATCATCCCAACTTGGACTCTGAAGTGATATGCCAATCCATCATGCCCATGGTAAAAGCAAGCTCTCATATAGCTATTGCAATGTTGATTTCAGCTATACAATCGCAGTATGGGAACACTGTCTCCTATAAAAAAGCTTGGCTGGCAAAACAAAATGCCATTGTCAAACTTCATGGCGAATGGGATGCATCTTACAACGAACTTCCAGGTTGGTTTAGGCTGGTGCGGACATTGAATCCTGGGACAATTGTGGACTTCGAAACCTCCTATGCATACCATAATGATCGAGTTCTTCGCGATTGATGCCAATTCTACCGAGTTTTTTGGAGTTACCCACAGTGCGTTAATGCTGCCAAATACTGCAAGCTTGTGGTCCAGATCGACGGGACTTTCTTGTATGGAAAATACAAGTAAGTTTTATTATTGACAGTTGTCCAAGATGGCAATCGCAACATTCTTCCAGTTGCTTTTGCTCTTGTCGAAGGAGAAGATACAGATTCTTGACCTTTTTTCCTCCGAAATTTACTTGCACATGTTATCACGAGGGAAAAAATCTGTGTCATTTCAGATCGCGGAGCTGGGATCAAAGCAGCAATGGAGTCTTTGGGTCCAATGTGGCAACCACCCTTTGTCCAACATATGTATTGTCTCCGACACATTGCTGCGAACTATCATGGAAGGTATAAGAAGAATGATGAGCGTAAATTAATTGTGCGCATGGGTAAGTGAAAGCAAGTTAGTAAGTTATACATTTTTTGATCATTTTAATTTTGCAAAGAAAGCAAGTTTGTAAGTTATACCTTTTTTGATCAGGTTACGAACTACTTCCTCAAACGTTTGAATCAATGCTTCAAGATTTGCAGGCGAAGAACGAGGAAGGATACGATTACATCAGCCTCATCGATAAAGAAATGTGGACGAACGCATATGATGGTAGATATCGATATGGACACATGACGACCAACTTGGCTGAGGCAATCAATTCAACATTAAAGGGTACACATCACTTACCTGTAGAAGCTTTGGTAAAAACTACATATTTTTATTTGGAGGCGCTTTTTACGAAGCTCAGGGGACAAGCTCAAACCTGGATGCAAGGCAGTCATGTCTATCACCCTAGATTAGTTGCAGATCGACAGAAAAAAATTGCTGCATCAAATGGAATGTCTGTAGCTAGAAGGCATGAAATGTTTCGTGTCACAGAGTTACTGCGACCTCTTCAAGGGATTAAAGTTGTGTCGTTAAGAGTAAATCTAAGGGACAGAACGTGTGACTGCGGGTTTTTTCAAGCTCTAAAGTATCCATGCTCTCATGTGATAGCAACTTGCTCGCATACACGTCAAGACTATAACCATTTTGTGGATCCCGTATACCTAATATCTGAAGTTTTTAAGGTATACGAATTTGAGTTTCCCCCCATAGGTAATGACAAAGACCCTGATGAGGTTCAAGATTGGCTTCCGATTGTACCAAATCCGAGTTTATTGAGGGAGCGTGGTCGTCCAAAATCCAATCGAATTCATTACAATATGGATATTCGAGAAAGATCTAGACAAGACAGAAGATGTGGCCATTATAGAAACCCAGGACACACTAGAAAAACAAGTCCACTTCTGTTGTCATCAAGTAACAATTGATGAGGAAATGATGTATTTATTTATCAAATAATAATTCTTGTATTTTAATTTGCATTTACTTCAAGTTAATGTCATTCGATAATCGCTGATGAAGATTAAAAAAATGAACACAATCATTAAATTTTATCAAACTAATAACAATTTGGTATTTAAATACAACAAACTTACAATAAGAATTAAATGGTAAATGATAACCAAATTACGATAACTGATATTAAATACAATCATTAAAAACGAACACAATCATTAAATTTTATCGAACTAATAACAATTTGGTATTTAAATACAACAAACTTACAATAAGAATTAAATGGTAAATGATAACCAAATTACGATAACTGATATTAAATGGTAATAAACAAAATTAACTGAAATATATTAAAAAAAAGTCCAACAAATTTAACAAAATAAAGTAAGTATTAAATGAGAAATAATAAAAAATTATAATTAAACAAAATAAAGTAAATACAAATATAATAAAAAAAATCTATCGATGCCGGCGTCGCGAATGTGTTCCGCAGGGTGGTGGCTGTCGGTCTCGAGGAGGATTTCTTCGTATCACTAGTTCTGACTCCTCGATGTCATCATCGTCGTCGACATCATCGTCGTCGTCGTCCTGAGCAGGTACATTAGGTTGATGAGGAGCTGATGACGATGAAGCACCTCCATAGAATAAGGACCCTGGAGGTGTATGACTGACTATCCCACCGGCCTGCAAAAACTGGGAAAACCCAGACATCGCTGAGTGTGAAAACTGTACAGGAGGTGTCTATGTTGCGGCCATGGGTGATGAGGTTGAACCTGCCAAATATCTAGCATATGAACCCCAAGTCAGATCTACAAACATAGACCCATAATAGCCTCCAGGAGGGGTCATCTGTGATGGTGACGGCGGCGGGGGTCATAAAACCAGGTGAAGGCGGCGGAGGAGGCA